AGAATCAAAACCGGTGCTTTGAGTCTCCCCGTTGTGCACTGTGGTGGTTTCCTGTCAGTAGTTGTGGTGGTGTGGGATATAATGGTCAAAAGTGGTCGACCTAGGGTATTTTCATATTTCGGCCAAGGTGTTCTAAAAACTCTCCTACTTTAGCGATTATAGGTCGACCACTGGCCACTAAACACAATGTTCTCGAATGTTCTAGAACTGATTGAACCGGAATAATCGAGAATCTTCTGGAATGTTCGAGGACCGTTGTGTGAATAAGTGGGACCACAACAACTTCTGTTACTAAATAGAAAATGTTTGCAGTTTCCTATAATGCTCAATATATCTCCAGTGTGGGGTGCGGTTCTGTGAGTTGTTCATCGGCCGTTAAACACCCGTTTAGAATAAGTAAGAATGTATTAGAATGTTCTTGTTGGACGGTCTTTGGCTAGAATGTTCTCGAACGTCTCTAGGTTTGATCTCAGTTGTAATTCACTAGAATTAACTGGACTAGAAGAATAAAGAAACTTCTGGAATGCTCCAGGAACATTCTGTTTGAGTAGAGATCAGTTCTGACAGTAAATTAGGACATTTTCATATATTTCGAGCGGTGTCTTAAATAGAATATGTTTGCAATCTCCTATAATGTTCGATATTATCGATATTCGGTAGGGTGAGGACCTGTCATCTGTGAGTCGATCGTCGGCCATCCAAAACACGTTTAGAATAAGTAAGAATGTACTAGAATGTTTTTCAATGTTTCTAGTGTGGTATATAACTAGAATGTTCTCGAATGTCTCTAGCTATGTCCTCGGTTGAAATTTAGTAGAATTAACTGGACTAGAAGAATCGAGAAACTTTTGGAATGGTCGAGGAGCATTATGTTTGAGTAGTAGATATAATGTTCGATATTTTTCCAATTTATTGGTGTGGATATGCGATTCGATTCATTTTTTATAGGGTGGTAGTCAGTTAGACCATTCTCGAATGTCTCTAGGCTGCGATATATAATTTTTTAAAGAATTATTATTTTTTATATTTGTATTTGCATTCACATATTTTTTCCTATTGTGGTGAAATATTGTGTTTTATCTAACGCTTTTAATGTTAATACGATAAATAGTTCAAAATTTCTGATTATATCGCTCTATAATTGTTGCAACTGTAAATAATTGAAATACGTCCTTCAGTTTTTTTTATCATAAATTACGTCACAGTGCCGCTTGGAATCAACGTTAGTTTTGGTATTAGGAGATCATAAGTCGGCAAACGTTAATTTTCATTTAGTTTCATAATTAGTCGCAAGGACCAGCACGTGCCGGATAGACTTTTAATTGGGAGGAGTCAAACTAATTTGATATAAACTCGTTTGCTTATTAGTTGAAAATGTAAACGATATTTAATTGGCACCTGTTGAACTTCATTTTAAACAAAAGACCAGTTGATAGGAGAATATTATACACATTCTATTAGGCTTTTGAAAATGGCTTCTTTGAATGCGTCGTTAAATAATTGGTATTTAGATGTGGTTCTGATAAATTAATTAAAAAAATAATAAAAAATAAAAAAGCTTTTTAGACGTAATTATAATCTTATTTTTGTATGGTTAGGAAATACAACATTTTTGTGCTCAATAGGAAATACAACTTTTACCATTACTGTTGTCGCTCAAAGAAAATTGATTAAGGACCTTGTGACTTTATGATAATTAATTTTATAAAGCAAGTTTGTAACAAAAATCACACTCTAAACCCAAAATTCTACAAACTAATCACAATCCCAAAATGCGTTGAGAGACTCAGTTAGAAACATAATTAATGTTAAATCTAAGCTTTATTATATTGTTACGATATCTTTTTAAGAATTTAATTGCTGTTAGTTCAGTCATAGTAATGTAATCATTGAATTGAGTGAAAATTACAAAAAAGCATTCGCTGAAAATTGGATAATATTATATAAGATTTAAATCGATAGGTCGTGGACTTCGGAGGTCTTCATTCATCATGGTCACTTCGATCTGTATTGATTGATGAAGCCACGGGGTGGTGAAAGAACGAGTAACTACTTACTGTTGTGAATTACGAAGTTTTTTAAACTTTATGTGGTTGTTATCAAATTAAAACAAAGTTCAGTTTCATACATCAAAAACTTAGGAATTATCGAACTCAGAAGGCAATAACGACAACAAATTCGGATATAACGTCAACATATTTCCGAAATTATTCAGTTTTTCTTGTAAATTTGTACTGTGTTTGTACTAAGTTCTATTTTAAGAAAGTCACTCGACTCTCATCGCTCTGCAGCATCGTATCAGTTATTGTAGGTACATGCGTACTACATAGGTATGCGATGAGAGTATTATGTATTTATGACCTCTTCAAAAACCTTTTTATACGTTTTCTTTAATGACTTAATAAAGTTCGAGGTTCTTTTACAATACGTAGATATACTTAATCAATGAAGACCGTCATCAAGCGTTACATTCAACACAAACGGTCCATAAAAGAGTAAGCAGTCCTGTCGACTTAAAAAATAAACTTAATCGTCATTTTAAGCAGTGAAAAAAGAACACTGAAAAACGTTAGATATTGTATTTTGATGTTATGAAATTTAATATTGTTGAGATAGTCAAAATTCCCGAAACATGTTCTGATTAAGTCATATTTAAATGACAAATTGAGTACGCATCAACAATAAATATGCAAAAAAGTTGTTTTGTTTAAAAAGGAACTAAAATGTGAAAATGTGACAGACATCTGACTAATCTAGGAGTATTTGTTGTAAAAAACTAATGGAACGCATTGCAACAATACCCCGAATAACGTGATTCGTTGAATTTCGGCAGTGAAAGCTTACGGGTAAAGGTCCGTACACACTTATCGGATTTACCGGACGGCACGGAACGGAACGAAAAATATATAATATCATACGAAACACATTGAAAATACCATCAGTTAAGAACGGCGTAACATTTTCTCGTAAAAAAGGGCGCAAAACCCAGATTCTCAACGTGTTTCACCGAATGACAACCTTAAAAAAGATATTTACTTTATGAATGGTTCCATAACCGTCATTGTTTACGTTTTTCACTGATGTAGCTGCTTAATTGTTATCGCAATTACTGTATGTCGCCGATTCACGCCCAGGGCCGGCTTTGGATTGCAACTTCGTCTGATTTTCTTACAATGGTTTTGTCCTTTAACCCTCTGTACCTGTACAGTAAACTAGTGCAGTTACAGAATAGAATAACGTTGTCATTATTGGGCCCGATGATTATGAAAGTATAATATAAAGAGAAATAGTCAAAGAAAATTTCTGATTTCTTTTGCAGGAAATGATAATATTTCAATACATTTTTATATTCGTATGCAGATTTATATTGTTGATTATAAATTTTTATTACGAACGAATCGATAATGTGAACAACTCTAATTTCATTTGTATATTAATCCGGTAATGAATTAAATTGGATTTAATATCGCTAAAGGTTCACGCATTACATATTACCAAGAGGAAAGACTGTCGGCTTTTTTACGTAAGCTATATAATATACTTACGTATTATGTAAATCCTGATCCTTTCAAATCGAAACCAATAGGCTTATCGGTTAAAGTCATAAATTTTCGACTGCATTATGTTCATGTCCTATTAAATATCAATAAACCCAAATGCCTACCACGAAACCCGCACTTGTCGCGCTAATTAAAATAATTTTTGTTGACGTTTAGAACAAAAATATGCTAATTAAAGTTACGGGATTTCTTTCGTTGAGCATATAGATACATGTTTAATTAAATAATTTGACAGTGTTGATTTTTAATGAATAAATGATGACTTGGACCACCATTAGTGGCCAAGAACTGACTTCAATTTGATATCTGATGAAGAAACACTTGCACTGAGAAGCTACGAATGTAGAAAAAATGTAAAATCAATTTTAATAGTAACAAATTACAGTACAGAGCATTGCAATCATCTATTCACCAAGTTTATTGAAGGTTTTTTGATGATTTTTGAGGGTCCTACTTGGAAGGCATATAAATTATAAATTTTCTGTTAACTACTTTTGCTAATAGCATCAGTCACAATCAGGGCCGGACTGGTCCGGGGTGCAGGGGTGCAAATGCACCCCGAACCAAATGCCTCCCGGACCAAATGACTCAAAATATGTGAAAAAAAAAAGAGAAATTAATAAAAAACCTAATATTTTTTTAATAGTTTTCAAATTTTGTTATAAAAGGAAAACAAAAAACAAACTATAAAAATATCATTTATAAAGAAAATAAAAAATTTTTAAAACAAGACCAAAGACCGAGGCAAAGACAAACGCAAACACTTTCCCTTCTAAACCAGGCCATTTGGTTACATCGCACCGCGGCCCAAAATCTTTAGTCCGGCTCTGGTCATAATTTTCATTTAAAGTATGTACTATCTAAAGCTACATTGAGGTACGACGGCAACGGTAAAATCCGTTGAAATTTCGACGGGTTATACGACAATTGTACTTTGTGACGTATCATTTCGAATGAGGTATAATGCACCTATACATAAGGACGTTTCCTATGTGAAAATAATAGACGTTTTATCCAAAAATGTTCAATAGCCCTTTAGAACCTATCGAGGTGTATTGTATATAATGACTAAGCAGTATCTAATAACGCAAAAAGTAACGTACTACGTATAATAACAGCGAGTTTAAGTTCGAAGGCCTCAAACTGGCAAGTAAAAGAACAAACCTTCTTTATAACGTGTAGCATCTTCAATAGGGCATTTTCATATATCGCAATGTGCGGACGGTTGTTACATGATGACGATAATGATGCGACCGCAAATTATACTTTGCGAAAATAATAAAATATCTTCTAGTATATTATATGTGTAGATACGTGTACTTTATACTGAATCACCCTAGAATTGAGCAATAATGTATGATAGTTGGTCAATTATATATTCCGAGCAATTTTATAGTATTACACACAGTAAATTAAAAGTAATTCAGATGAAATACTTACATACCATTCTCTCAACTTATGGCTTATGAAGTCGGTTTTGATCTTGTATTCATTCAACAAATTCAACACTCCATCGGCCTCTTTTTAGTATTAACCCATGACTCTTGGAGTGGGGCTTGTATTTATGAAATAGATAAACACATAATGGAATAAAATAATTCGAAGTGGTCTATATTCTGTCGAAACTGCCAGACGCGGATCGCGATTTCGATCTTATTGCATCTCATCAGCGCGTCGCAGGCAGCCCCGACAGAACACAGACCAACTTTTACCTGCTGTCTTAACAGCTCGTTTTAGGAAATACCGCAAATGGCGCGGTAAACGCCATCTGTAGTACGATGCTACATTTTAGGATTACGTATGCTCCAACAAGGTCCATTTAAATAAATGGATATCTACTTGCTAAAACGAATCCCGGCGTAGCTAACCTCAACGTGATAGGCAGGTTATCATAATCGAATACAATAATTCGAAGTGGTCTATATTCTGTCGAAACTGTCGAAACTGCCTAGGATTGTACTACAGATGGCGTTTACCGCGCCATTTGTGGTATTTCCTAAAACGCGCTGTTAAAACAGTAGCTAAAAGTTGGTCTGTGTTCTTTCGGGGATGCCTGCAACGCGCTGATGAGATCCAATAAGATCGAAATCGCGATCCGCGTCTGGCAGTTTATATAGAATATAGACCACTTCGAATTATTTTATTGGATTCGTTTCAGCAAGTAGATATCCATTAATCTGCATATTTAAAGGACCTTGTTGGAGCATACGCAATCCTAAAATGTAGCATCGTACTACAGATGGCGTTTACCCCGCCATTTGTGGTATTTTCTAAACACATAATGGTTCAAAAATTATTAAAATAATAAATGTAGAGAATTGGGAAACTTTGGCGGTGTTGTAGAATACTACGATAAAAAGCTCAAACCTCAAGGGTAAAACATGACACTGAACCTATTTCAATGATTAGGTAAGGTGAAAATTATAAAAACTAACTGATAATATGGTTATAATTCAACTGCATAATTGTTCAGTGGACCTTAAAAAACAAAAAAAACAATCAAATTAATTCACTAAACAGTATATATATTCTTCATTTATAAGTCTTTAACAAGTTTTAGAGGTATAATAATAAAAGATATCATATTGTCAACTAAACTCTCTAAACATATCGTTACGAGTGTAAAAATTATTTATTTACATATAAGCAAGAGTTCGTACATTACAAGCAGTTCTTATCGTTTGCTTATTAGATGTTTATACTGGTAATTAACAAAACTTATGGCGCATGTACGCGGGCTTATCTAATCATTTTCTTTTTCTATTATTTAGTTGCTATATTAGAAATGTTCGTGTAGGTATAACAGTTTAGAGGAATGTAAAGCAGTAAATATTGGTGTTTAATGGAATTCTGAGATTGTCCTCTGTCTTCTCGATAGTGGTCGTTCAAGTGATACAAACGACTTTCTATCAGCCGTATTAAACAACATTTATAATTCTTGACTCTTAATTACACAAAACATTAGTGTGTGGGCTTGTATCTATTTTTGTTGTGCTCTTCTTCTTATGGTAAATTGTGAAGAGCACGTTTCCATACAAATATTTTTCATTCAGTGCTGTATTTTCTTAAAAACAACAAAACAATTTTAAAACTGATCGTTTTTTCTAAATAAAGATCAAAGAAAACCGAAGAAACCCCTTTTTGTTTAATTAATTTTAAAACTATTTTAATATTTTAAACATGTTTGTTGTTTATGGACAAATTTATTGAAAAAGTGGAATGGAGATTTCTGTGCAGAAAAGTTCAAATTTAGGAAAATCCATGGAATAGATCTATTGGGTTGTTCGGAAAGTCATTTCGTTTTTTCCCGACAGAGGATTTAATTGTCTTCTTTTGCACCCAACTTCACATTTAAGCCGTATAATTTTTATATGCTTTGAGAGCTTATATAGCAAGGCTTGTGTGTGAAAAATTCCAATTAATTCTACGCAGTAGTTTTTGGTTGGTGCCCTTTTAAATATGGAGAGCGATAAGCAGCATTTTCGACATATC